ATATCAATATAGCAGTATTGAGACAAGGCTGGATGGTCACAGCTCACAGCTGGTGGAGAGGCTGATGTGCTGCTGCTTTCTCCACCTCTTTGAACAAGCTAAAAAAAAATACAAGTTAAAAAATAAACTTGTAATTTGGCCCAGCAAAGCCCTAGGAGTGCTGTGGAAGAAGGAAATATTCTGGGGTTTTTGCTTGTGTGGAAACACCAGGCATTGCCTGTGATGGCATTAATTTAATTACAGCTTTAGGTGCCTGCACAACGTGCTCAAAGCCAAAGCTAAAGCCACGAAAAGGAAACTGTCCACCCAAAGCACCCACAGCCCTGCTGGTTCCTGGAAGGAAGGGCCAGGTAATGCAAATTATTCAGTGCAATGTCACATTTCCACGTGGAAAACGCTCCCAAGGCGTGCGGGCAGCACAGCTTCGAGTCCACAGCCAGGAATGTGGTGAGGAAAGAATGTCCTCAGCTGAGGTATGGAACACAGAAATAACCAAACCCACCAGAAATAAACAAACCCAGCACCAGGTTTGTACAGAGAAATAAACAAACCGAGCACCAGGTCTGTGCTTACAGGAGAGGGGTTCCACAGGCAGAGGAGAAGCAGAGCCCTGTGATGCAGGAATTGGAGGCCCTGTGATCCCTGCCACAAAGAAAGAGATGGAATCAGAGGCCACAAAGGAGGAGATGATGGAATCAGAGGCCAGAGCTGAGTTTAAGGAATCTCCCTTCCCTGGCAGGACCCTGCTCCCTCACAGGAACACTGCACACACACACCTTGCTATTAAACCTGAGCACAGTCTCCACCGTCTCCCTTTACCCCCCAACTCCCCAAACTGCTTTGTGGATTCCTTATTTTAACTTCAGAACCAGAAATCAATTTTTGATGGGAAATCTCTCCAGAAACCAGCATTTAAATGTAATTTTGGTTGGGTTTTTTTTAGCCAGGAGAGCACTTTTCAGGCAGGCAGCCCTTGCAGGTGAGCACAGCCCCTGCCTCATGCCCTGCCTCCCCTCTCCTGGCTGCTGGAAATGATCCTCCTGGGAGGGGCAGAAATGCAGGGAATCACCAGGGCATGGCTGCAGAGGGGATGAAAAGTGCTCAGAAAACAGGATTAAAGTGCAACAATACACCCAGGGAGTGCCCCATGGCTGGGTGGGGCTGCTTTGGGGCTGAGATCAGAGCCCTTGGTGGGTGAGACACAGCAGGAGCAGAGGGGACACCCAGGGGACACTGCTGCGGGACATGGGGACACTGCTGGGGACCAGGGGACACCCAGGGGACACTGCTGTGGGTACAGGGACACCCAGGGGACACCCAGGTGCCAGGGTGGCACTGCAGGTACCACAGATTCAGGGTCAGATGAAGGAATTCCCGGGACATCCCTGTGCACATCCCTGTGCTGTGCTGCTTGAAGGTTTCCCTGCCTCAGGAAACAATTCCTCAGCAAGCAAAAGAAAATTCAGCATGGATGTGGCAAAAACATAAGTTCAGGTTTTGTTTGGTGTCAAAAGTTGCTAAATCTAATCCATTTTGGGCCTTATTAAAGCACCTTCTTTAATAAGGGAACTTCTGGAATGTTCTGGAGGGAAATTCACCCACCTGGGCCAAAGGAGCCGCTTTGGGTGTGCATCCATGGCCAGACCTGGGAGGGCTCCACGTCCGTGGGATGCCCTGCCAGGGAGCAGGGTGGGACAGGGCAGAGCCCCTTGGATCAGCTCTGGAATCAGCTCTGCTCCTTCCCCAGGTCCCTCCTCTTGTCCCTAAGCAGGAAAAAGGGATTCACATCATCAACTCCCAGTGAAACATTTAAATATTCAAACCAGTCAGTCAAGCTCTAGATCAGGAGTGCTGTGCTCCATCAGGCACCACAAACTGAATTAAGCTCCCAGTCCAGTCAATGGCAGGATCCCATTGATTTCTGTGGGTCTGCAGTTACACTTTATTAATTGCTTGCAAAATCCTATTAAAATATTGCTGCTATTGATTGGTTTGGATCATTCATTAAACAAATTTGCCTGGAATTACTCATGTTTTACTGGGCTTTGTTTCTTTACATGGTTGCTTATCACGGCAACACAATCTTAATGGGAATAATGTAATTTAGCCTCTTTTAATGGGAACTGTGAGCAAATATTGTGGTTGCTTATGTTCCTTATGGGCTGGTGTGTGTGAGTGGGTCTCAGCAAAAATCTAGGGCTGATTGTACAAAAGATCCCTGTATAAAAACATATATATTTTTTAAAATATATATTCTAAAATATATATTAAAAATATAGAAATATATAATTTAAAAAATAAATAGTATATATTTTAAAAATATATATTAAAAATAAAGAAATAATATATATATTTAAATATATATTTTAAAATATATTTTAAAAATAAATAAATAATAATTTAAAAATTATATATACATACCACAAGAGTTCAGTGGCAAGCATCCAGGGTGTGCAATGCTGGAAGAGAAATGCTGTAAGCCACGAGTTTGCTGCCTCTAAAAAAAGGCTGTGAATGGGTTTGACCTGAATTGGCTACAAAGGAAATATAAACTTTCCCTGGAAGGAGGATAATTGGGATGTACACAGAGAGCTGTGTTTATTCTCTGAAATGAGGGATATTTTTCCATGTATTCCAGCTCACCTTCCTCTGCTGGATAAACTCCGCAGGCAACCCTCCATTAAGCCTGCAGTAAATCAATCCCTGAGTGAATGCTTTTCTTCTAAACCATTATTATCTTGTCTTTATTCACTGTTATCCCTTTTTCCCAGGCAGAATAAAAACCCCAAACCCTCAGCTGTTTAACTCAGCTCCTCATTGCAGCAGGATTTCACAGCACGGTGTAATCTCAGCCCTTTATTGCTGTTTGTGACACAGAATGCACCCCGAGGCAGGGGCAGAGCCTCAGCACACAAAAACTGCTCCAAAATATCTCAAATTACTGCCAAAATAACCCAAGTACTACCAAAATAACCAAATAACACAAAACACCACCAAAATAATCCGAGGCACTACCAAAATACCACAAAGTACATCCAAAATAACCCAGGGTACTATAAAAATAACAGAAGTTACTATCAAAATAACCAAAGTTACTACCAAAATAACCAAAGTTACTATCAAAATAGCACAAGGCACTATCAAAATAATCCAAGGCCCT